TTTCACCTGCACATGTCGCTGTATCTTGATGGCAGTTCTATGGTCAATAAAATTTTCTTACTGTTTTCAATAATGAAGGTTCAAGGCATATGCCAGTCATCTATATTTACAGTAATTGGAATTAGAGGCCATGTCTACTGAAAATAAAGATTAGTGGACAGTTTCGAGCAATATTGCAATGTAATGCCCAATTGCCAGTGATTACATACTGTATTAGACATCTCTCTAAATGGGGGACAGAACCCTCCAAATACAGAAGAATACCAAACAAGAATATTTGTTTATAAGAATAGTCCAAATACCACTATATACCAGTCCATACCAGTAAAACTGTATTTCAGTTTGTTTCCAAAGTTTGATAAAAGCTTTTGCATTCTGAAAAGTAAGCAAGTTAAAATACAGTGCTGCATGTAAATAGTGACATCTCTAACACAAAGCAAGACTTTGTCAGTTTCAGGAAAAATAGTCTACAAACTAGTCATTCCAATGCTGAAGAAACTGAGACCCGATTTTACTGAAAAAGAAAGAAAAAAAGTGCCTACTGGCTATCTAACAATTGATAGCTGGTAACTCATTGGAAAAGAATTATTGTAATTCAAATCCTCACTCGAAGTTAAATAACATCTCAGTTATCATGCAACAACTAGTCATTGTTTTATCTAGGGTTCCTCTACATGTTTGCTTATGCATACAAAGTAGAACAAGCTCCAGCAGAAGAGATTAAAAGAGGGGACCCTGTGCCTAGGAACTCTCTGCAGGTGAGAGACATGAACTTAAATTCCTGATGGCAATCAGGCATAATAAGAACCTGAACCTGTATTTCCCTCAAACAATTCAATTTCAAGAATGTAGACTAAGAAAAAAAGGTTTTAATATTTTATTGCTATTTTTAATAGGAGTTATATTGTTTTTTAGAAAGCTTATTTTCTTACCAGGAAGAAAAGACAAGTAGATGCTCAGACATTTAGGGTAAATCTATTTTAGTAAACAAAAGAGGTCAAGGAATGACCTCAAATACATCATCCCTGGTTACCCACATGGTTTTACTGTTAATTTATTCCCTGGCTCTAGTTGAGACTGTTGCAAGGAGCTCTCCTGAAGACACTTGCTGACTGGCTAGCCCCAGGCAGCAGAGATTTGACCTACTCTGTGACATTTTGCTTCAGACAATTGAGATGAGCTTGACTGAGATAGCTTTAGTGACAGTCTACAGTCTGATATTTTTCTTTTCCTAGTCCCCTCTAAGAATACTTTCAGTAGCCTATTCTCTAAGAATATTTTTCAATGAAAGAAGACCTGAACATTCTGTAACCAGCATTACTGATGTGTTTAAAATGTGACTGCTATAGGAAATTCTGAAGCTAAGCTGAACTCTATTTGGGGGGAAAAGTATCTAACAGCTCTGTTAAATTTCTGAAATAATATTTGCAATGCAATTTATACTCGAGTTCATACCAAATAATTCCTCCCCAGAGCAGAGAAAAGATAATGTAGAATAGCAGTGATCCCCAGATCATGAAGTGATTTATCCATGTCCAATATTGTGTATCTAGCGCAAGCTGAAAAAACAACAGATTTGTTATTACTATCAAGAAGCAACAGAATACTCAGTAGGAGTGAACTAAAGTTACCCACCCTGAAAAGGTAAGGATTCTACACACAATTAGTTAACAAAAAAGCTTTTCATTTTTGAGCACAGTTAAGAAGGCACAGATGGCAAAACTTACAAATTAAACTCAAAGGGGAAAATTGTAAAGTGAAACTGATCTTTGTAAGCAGCAAGGAGAAAACTGCCACCCAGGAAGTTTCAACTGAAAAAATGTAGCATCCCTTACCTTCAATGTAACTGTGAATACAAGCACAGTAAACACCAATGTTCCAAAGGTCCAGTTTCCAAACATCTGTAAAAGATAGGCAGAGGCTATATTTTACACTGTAATATCAGTTACGGGCTATATCTCACACTGTATCATGAGCTGTCTAGAAAGAAACACTTAAAGCTCATGTATTCCCTTGTATCATGAACTGAAACTAAGTAACAACCTGTATGTTCTATTGTGCTCTTGTGTGTACACACTACACTAAAAGCACACAATATATGCATTTAACCCCAAGGTCATGGGTATATTCCTTAAAAAAAGAAAAAAAAGTGTAGCACAGTTAATGAGTTATTGAGATTTCCAAATGAACTGCAGTAATTTCATGAATCTTCTTATCCACCATCTTTTCTCTGACCTCACTTCTCTGCCCTCCTTGGATTCCTGGATTTTTCAGAGGTTCAAAAGTGTGTTATATGGATCACTAGCAGTACAAGTAGGAATAGGACAAGGATAACCAACGAAGCCATATTAAATACATAAATTTCTACATATCGTTTTAAGATGTAGAGCTTCTGAACTGTAGTTAATTTTCTCCCTCCTTGCATAATGAAATGAAAACACTTCAGCTTTTCACGTGATCAGAAAGTATCATTTGTGATGATGGAGGAAAGAAGTCGTGGTGAATATGGTCACAGACGATTGCTTGGACTGACTGCAGCAGCTATGAGATGACCACATTCAAGGTCCAGAGGAATGTTAGGAAAATAAGCAGCAGACCTGGACAGAATGTTTTAAGGAAATAGGCTGTTTTATTGAGAAAATGACAGCCATAAAACAGAAGGGTACCTAACAGAGGCAAATAATTTTTAAAGAGAGAAATGTTGAGATCTCAGGAACCATCTTCCATAGGAAAACAAAAAGGGAAGGAGGAAGACCCAGTGAACTGCATGCCAGTCAGTCCCATCTTGATCTCTGGAAATATCATATCTTGTTAGAATCCATACATATCAAGGATAAAATGATAATCAAGGGTACTCTACATTGATTTACCAATGGCAGATCACATCTGATCAATGTGATTGCCTTCTATGACAAAATAACTGGCCATGTAGTTGACATGAGAGCAGCAGACGTAACCTATTTTGATTTTAGCAAGGCTGAATATTTTTTTAGTGGTTTCCCGCAGCATTTTCATTTCAAAGCTGAGGAAGCAGGTACTACTACCGGCTGAGCAGCGGCCCTGCTAAAAAGGAAGTTGCAATGGGGTTACAGTGGACTTTAGGCTGAATACAAGTCTACAGTATGTTCTCACTCTAAATAAGGCGAACTGCAAACTCTGCAACATTAGCAGGAACTTATCTACCTGATCAAGAAAGTTTATTATTCCCTTTTACTCAGCAATGGTGAGGCTGAATCTGGATGCGAAAAAATTGGGAAGGGTCAAGTGGAAGGTTACCAGGACAGTTGGAGATCTATAGCTCTCCTAAGAAGAGAGGGTTGAAAGAGACCTACTTAGTGTGGTGAAGAATAAGTTAATGCATAACCTAGACAGCTGCCTACAGCAGCTGCCTACAGAAAAAGATTTACAAGGATGATGTAGTCAAACTCTTCTTAGTAATAGGTAATAGATGATGCAAGGATCCAGGGCCAAAAAAAATGCATGTTTAGGAGACCTAGGTTGCATGTTAGGGGAAAAAACAAACAAACAAACAAAACCCAAATGACTGTAAGTGTAATGCAGCACTGGAAGAGGCTGCCCAGACAGGTCATAGAATCCTGATCCTTGGACTTGATTCAAGACTCAGCCAAAGCCATGACTGGCCTGATCTAATGCTGGCAACAATCCTGCTTCTAGCACAAGGCTGAAATAGATGAATTCCAGAGCTGCCTTCCAACCAACAATTCTGTGATTCAGATAAAAGCTTCCCTTGTTACCCAAGGACACTGATGTCAGTGGAGAAAACAGATTTGTGCAAATCCAGTCACCGAGTTACATGCAAGTGTCTTATCAATTGAAAAGATCACAGCATTCAGTAACATCTGTAGGCACGACAGCACTGGTATGTTCTCAGTGTCGCTGCTGCCAGTTTTTCCTGTATCCCTACCAATCCTGCTTCTATGGATGCTTTTCTGACAGGAACACTTGTCTGTCATTCATTTCACATATGTCACCAGTTGAGAAATGGCAGCTTTTGATTCCTACAACATTTGTATCAGAACCAAAACTTTCAGCTACCAGTGAAACATATTCTCTCCTGCTCTTCAAAGCTGTTCAGTCTCCATTCTTCATCTCATTTTTATTAATGTTCTACAAAACATTATCTGTAAATATTTGCTGTCTGTATAGTTTCAGTTATTAGGCCACCCAAATTAATCTTTTATCCTGTTTTTCATACTCACGACAAGACTACTTTTGTTAGCTTTTCTATAAATGAGTTTCTCTAGATATGCCAAATGTAGTAATTCTTCAGTGCCTCTAGTAAAAGGCTGCAAGAATTTCGAGACAGATTTTCATAGCATTCTTATAGTCAACTTGATGATATACTTTTAGGATATGCATACTACATGGTGAATGGAAAATTGGCTGGGCTTCCAGGCAGAGATGTCACCACAAAGATGTGATCAGAAGTATGAAGTCCAAATAGTTGGTGGTAGTTAGCGATGTTCATCCAGGGTTGATCCTAGCACCAATATTGTTTAATGTCTTTTATCTTCGATAAGTTTGCGGATGATATTGTGTTGCAGGGAAGCAGTTGAAATGATCGAAAGCAGGGGTGCAATGAGAGAACCTGAACAGGTTGGTGACATGGGCTGACAGAACCTCATGAAGTTCAACAAATGCAAGATCCTGCACTTGGAGCAAAAAACCCTGACGAGCCAGTATAGGCTCCTGGCTGGAAAGTGGATTTGCAGAAAACAGGAAAGGATCTGGGTATCCTAGTGGACAAGTTTAAAACAAGCCAGAAATGCACCCTTGTAGCAAAGAAAGTCGATCTTGTAAAGTTTTGGTGAGCCAGTAGGTCAAGCAAAGTGATTCCTTGCCTCTATTCAGCACTCGTAAGGCCACACTCTGGAGAACTGTCTTCAGTTTGTGTCTCCAAGTACATGAAAGGCATTGACATATGGCAGCAACTCCAGGGGAAGGCCATCAGGATAGCTGGTCAAGGAGCTGAAGCACATGGCGTGAAGGTTAGGGAATTTCATTTATTTAGTTTATTTTAAATGTGTAATCAAGTGTTTGAAAAACACGATGAACTGCAGAATATCTTCAGGTTTCTGATCTGAGTTCTACTTTGGTATAATTTGATTTTGACGGGGTCATGTTTATGCTACACTGTTTTGTGTGTACTCAAAATGTGGCAGGAAACTGGTTTAGGAACTTCAAATTATGCCCATACTTATTGACTTTCTTCTTTCAGATAAATGTTCCGGAACTCTCATGCCGTATCAGGCATCTCTTGGACAGGCTCATCAGTCTGAGTTTCTGGATACCGAACAATGTGTCCATATTACCAGTAAAACCTGCTAGATAAAAAAAAGTTGAGACAATTCTCTTGTGTCTCTAGGTGTCAGGCAAAATGGAAAACATCAGGCTGCAACTAAACCCTTCACCTAGATGTTTTTGGCTCAGGCTACTAGGTCATTGCATAAGGCCTGCAGGCTCCAAGAGGCTGCTAATTTAGACACACAGAAGGGAAAGCAGAATAATATGGAATGAAACAGTTAAAAAAAGCTGATGGCGCTTTCAGTATCTCAGGATATTATTCATGTCCTGAGGTTCCAAACTGTGCTTTTATAAGATTTCTTGTTTACATCCAGCATATTAACTAATATTTTTCTGTGATCTGCTCCCAGCCTATCCAAGGCTTCCTTCTCCTTCTGTGACTGTATTCATTGTATTTTCCATGTTCCTGTAGATTGCTTTTCTCACTTATCTTCCTGCTGGTTTAAATTTTCCATTCTGTTACTCATTTTAACTTAACCATTGTCCATCAAATGTTAAAATTAAAAATCACAGATGAAGTATGTTTCATTACATGGGTAAACTAAGATGACATTTACAATCTGTAATCACTTCTACAATGCCTTGTTTTCCTCTTACCTTCCTCATGTAATTGGTTTCTGGCTATATTTTATACAACACCAACTCTGATGTTAGAGCCAAACTGAATCATTGTGCACCAAGCACTCACACAAATTTGTAACAATTAGTAAGACCAATCCTTGTCATCTTAGTTTTGTTAACCAGGAAATGAGTGAAGCAGGCATTTATGGAGTAAATTTCAGCAATTAAAAATACACTTTTCTGGTATTTGAGTACCATCACTCTTCAGACAGTTTCAACCAAATTTGTAAGTACTGAAAAAAACACTGGGGGCTTATGTGGAAGTGAGCTGAATGATATGTCAATTCTGGTCTGACACAGGAAGTAATTCAAGTAAAAGACACTCACTTGTTTGATTTCTACTAGTTTTGTAAAAATGGTGATTAGTTCAGCAAAGAAAAAAATTTACAAAATTTTGATTCAGCACCCATTTTAATAATTTGAAACATAACTTGGATCATCTTGTATCATTTACGGTATTAGCGTTCCCCTTAACTCTTTTATCCCTTTACCTGCGTTTTACCTTAAGCCTATATTGTTGCAGTAAAGTTTTCAAATTAAATCTTTCACAGACTTTTTCCAGACATAAACATAATTTAAGTACTTCAAAATAAAGACCAACACCCACTAGCATTCATGTATGTATATACCAACGGATGCATGTATCTCTGACTATTCCTGAACAGTAACTTCAGGTTTTTAAAACTGCAATGCAAACTGTATTTCTTACAGTCATTTATACATTTTTTACATACACACGCATACACGCTGAATGGTACTGAGTTTTCTAAACCACTCTGACACTCTCATCTGAATCTCTTACCAGGCCAAGAACCTCATTATCCAGTATTAACATGGGCACCTAATTCTAGAAATACACCTTCCAAGTGTGGGAATTGGGCAATAGTGTGGTTTTAGAACTTCCTCAATGATTTAATTTAATAAATGCATCAAAATGTGCTAACGATTTTAAAAAGGAACCTAGTCAGAATATTTGCAGTATTTAGCATTAACAATATTTGTACAAATATGAAAAGACTGATTTTCAGGACTGCAGATATGAACTGATGCAGTTTTTTTGTATTTAGCAGAGAACATTATTGTAAGAAGAGAGAAGATCATGTATCAGAAGAAGTACTACAATGTACACTTATGTCTAAAGGAAGGTTATTCAATCCTTAGAGAAATTAACTTGCTAACATAGTCTCTCACACAACAAAAGTTCACTTCACTGGTGATTGTCACAAGGTGGTATTTAAAGATACTTTGATACTGCTTTTCTAGAAAATGTATACTTCTAGTTTATAGGTGAGTAAAGAAAAATAACAAAATTTGTTTTGTCTCACACTTTGTGAGTCTTTTCTAAAGCATTTGAAGCATATTATAGCATAAATTATAATACATTTTCTGTAGCAGAGGCAGGAACAAAATACAGGCTATAGAGAAGCACAGAACAATAATAAAATGCAAGGAAGCAGAAAAACTACCCATTTTTGAAAGTTCTTGTTGTTTTAGTATTCCTCATATACCTTAATATAACTTATACCCTATATAAGTTCTTTAGATTTTAAGACCTTACAGAGTAGCAATAAAGAACATTTCTATTAATAGGTTTAAATAATATTTTTAAATAACTGTAGGAGATATTTAACTGTTCTTTAATTAACAGTTTAATTAAAGAACAGTGAAAGATGAAATGGATATCATGACAAATCCACAGTAGTCTTACCATGTGAGTGCTGGTTGTCATTAGCTGAGGATAGGAAGAGAAGCAAGTAGCAAAAAGAAAAAAAAAAAGCACAGAAATAAAATAGACCAAAATATCAATGGGTAAAATAAATAAAATGCAAAGGTCCTTAAAATTTGCATTCATGTGACTGCAAAGCAAATAGAATATTTTTAAGCTGCTATATGCAAAAATATTTTTAATATTTTAAAAGCCTGTTATATTTAAGCTCTTGTGTGACCACTCATAACACCTGTACCTTTTCTGAATACACAGTTAATCAGTTAATCAAATATTCATCGATGTGTTAAGCACAAACCAGAAATGTTACCATGTGATTCTGAAGGAATACTTGAAATATATGATGTACATTTATCTTTAATTTTATCTAGTCCCATGCCACTGTTTGCTGATATACAGAATTCCTACTACATAATTCAGATTGCTAGACAGACAACCCATGTATCTCACCGTAATTTACAAAACAGTTGTCTCATTGTGCTGGAAATCTTAAAGAACACAATTAAACTGTGTTCACAATGACTGAACACTTGACATTTAGAAAATTATATTTCATCAAATCTGAACAAATCCAATACTAACCTGTCCGTTGCTGGTTACAGTTGTGTTTTCAAACAAGAAATAGGCACCAAAGAAAAATACCACAGCATCAAACACCCCTAGGAATGTCCAATAGATAAATGCACGCCAGCGCAACAAAGCATTCTTGGCAACATCTCTGTGTTAAACAAGATACATACATCGATATTAGCACATGGAAAAGAGTCCAGACAAATGAAATTTTGCGGATTTTCTGGATTTTGTGAGGGACACGGAGTGAAGAGGCCACATATGGGTTAACTTCACATTTCCACATGGCAATTACCTACCACTTCATACTTCACCAAATCTTTCCTAATTAGCTCCTCATTATTTTTTAAATTTAATTTTTACTGAATCCTTTTAACTGTTGCCTTTAGTTCTGATTATTCCAGATATATAGTCAATTCTTCTTCTGTGCTGCACCAATTCACATTGCAATCTTTTTACAGAAGTTATCTCATTTACACTACCTGCTGTACAGCTGATAATCCAGTATAAATTGTAAATGAAAACACTAGAGGTCTCCAGAGACTCCACTTTATTTCCCATGGGATAATTTTATATAAAATACTGGAACAAAACAATTAGCTTTATGTGAAACATGAACCAGGAATTAGCAGTTCAGTTGAGCCTTTAAGCCCAAATTTCTTCAATATTTTCCCACAAAAAATATCTGGAATGATCAACAGTAGAACTAACCACTAAATCACTATCACATATTTTCTCATTACAGAAATGATTAAATAGTACAAATTTAGTTCTTGCATACAGAAAAAGTACATATGAATGTATCACTATAAAACATGCCATAACATCAGGACAGTTAAAGGAAAACCCAGAATTTAAAAATTTCATGAAACATTTATCATCTACCAAGCCTTTCACTCATATAGCCGTTAAGAAATGTGTCTCATGACCATCTGATGTTGTTTTGCACTTCAAGTTACCCCATGAGATTAGCAATTTTCTTTTAAAATGGTGCAAGGCCACATATGTCTAACACGAGCCTCATCTGCCCTAGAACAACAGGACTATGACCTGAGACGGCTCGCAGCAGACTGTCAGATATACTAAGCTTTCAAAACCCCAAATGAAAGATCTTTTGAACTACAATTTCAAAACTGGAAACATTTAAATATAGAACTGAAAAAAGGGGTATTGGCTTCAATGGCAGTATCTTGGAATTTTTCTCAGAATGAATCCCCTATTCAGTTGTGAGATAAATAGGTTAAGGTATCTCACTTGAAACATTATCTTTTATCTACAATTACTACACGCTCAAAATGTTTTCCCTTCAATTATCTACTATAATCACTCTCTAAAATGCACTGTTTTTGCAGCTGCAAGAAGCAAATCTGAGCACTATTGCTAATTTAGATGGCCACATGCAGATTATTGGCAGGGATGGTATTTCAAGTGGCTAAGACAAGTAAATCAAAACAGCCACAGCTTTAATGCCCTGCAAATAAGTCAACAGTACGCAGAAGACAATGCTCATCACATGTCTACTCTTAACACTCAGTTCATCTTTCTCTCAAAATAAAAGTATATGGAAGAAATGGTATGATTTTTCTTTATAAAGAACTTCTATTTCTCATGGCTAAAGGAAATAAATAGTCCTAAATTAAATCATATTTTCAATTTCTAGGACAGCCATTTTTATTATGCTCTCATTTGCTTAAGTGACAAATGAACGGTGTGGATCACAGAATTTAAATATACATGTTAAAATGTGCATCTATAGTTCTTTATATACAATGCACGTGGTCTTCAATCCTTCCATTGCAGTATATCTGAGGTTTTTCTTTTGTACCTTGTGAAACAGAAATCCTGAGTACTTTGGTTCTAACAGAGCCAGATTTTGCCTCTGAAAAGCCAAACCTTAGGAGCTAATGTATTAATTTTACCTGTATAGGGAAGGCTCTCTCTTGAGTGTGTCTGCACTGACATGTTGTTCCATTAGACTGTACAAGAGGATAGGAAGGGAAGTGAAGCTGATATTGTACAGTGTTAGATACGCAGTATCATATAAAGGCTGTAGATGGAAAAGAAATTAGCTAGTTACAATTTTAAAACACAATCCACTGTACTATGCTTAATTTAAAACAGTGAGTCAACTTGTTTAAAATACAAAAGTATATCCCTCACCATGGAACCAAATACCCCTGAACAGCTGCTTGCAGTTGTGAGACACAACTCTGCCCTTGCACCCAATTCGTATGGAGGACAGAAATAGTCTGGTCCACATATTGTCCCCTCCTATGGGTTCCACTGAGACCAACTCTAAACTACCCAAACTGAACAACTGAAGACTCCTGTAGAGACAGCAAACCCTCTCGCACATCCATCCCCAGCTCCCCAGAGCAGCTTTTCCCCAGCCCGTCCTGGTGCCTGGGGTTATTCCTCCTCAAGTGCAGGACCCTGCATCTGCCTATGTTGAACCTCACAAGGTTCCATTCCACCCAGCTCTCCAACTTGTTCAGCTCCCTCTGGAGGGCAGTGCAGTCCTCTGGAGTGTTGGCCACTCTTCCCTGATTTGTTCCATCAGCAAACTTGCTGAGGAGACACTGTCCCTTCATCCAGGTCACTGATGAATAAGTTGAACAGGACTGAACCCAGTATTGACCCTAGGGGATATCACTAGCTACAGGTCTCCAACTATACTTTGTGCCACTGATCACAATCATCTGAGCTCTGCCAATTTTTTGCATTGCTGTTTTAAAATTTTGTGTTCTTGTAGCTCTGACTTTGAAAATAATATGGCATTTATAAAAAGTCATGCAATTAGTTTCTGTCGCTTAACCTTAACTGTCACTAAAATCACATGAATCAAAATTGCTGTTCTTCTTTCTACAGTGTGCAAACTGTAGAAACCTAGCAATTTTCTCAGCAGACTAGGTATAGTGAGAGCATGAAGAATCCATTTGATTTAAAAAAATATAAATTTCTGTAGGACTAACCTGTTGTGAAAACCCACAAAAGAACTGATATAAAAACTGAGGGAAAATGAAGCAGACATTCTGAAAGACAAAGTGACACAATTATCAAGGGAAATACAAGCATCAATAAACATGTTGTTCACAGTGCTATAACTGTGCATACTATTTTATAAATCTAGCAATAGTCAATGCTGCAGGAATGGTAGAAGACCTGCATACATTAAACATTAAGCATTACCATTCTCATCTTATGTTAGTACTGTAAGAAAATATCCCGTAAGAAAATACACTGTAAGAAAATACTGTAAGAAATATTCTGGAAGCAAACTTGTAAGACTGTAGTTTCAAAATTCAAGGGCAATCAATTTTTGATCCAGGACTACAGTGCAGTGAAGAGAAAGCAAGTAAGGTACAATTCACAGTAGAACAGAAACTGTGATAAGGAAGGTTGTTTATACTTTGCTCAGCATGGTTCCCAGCAAAGAAATTTTTGATATTCCAAGCTGTGACCTCCAGATTCATCCTTTCATAGCTACACATACAGTCAAACACCTAAGGTCTTGAATGATCATGAGGTTCCTTTCTATAATCTTTCCATAACTTACTGAAAGAACTTAGATTGGATCCCAACATTTAGACATAGACTGTCTAAACAGGGAGATGCACATTATACATTTTCTCCACCTACACTATCTCATTGAATTTAGAAACTAAGAAAATTTAGTTAAGTAAATTTAAGTTCTCAAACACCGTTTCCAACATGATTAAAAAGGCCATTGTAGAAAGAATCTAAAAGTTACTGAAAATATACAGAACAGTCTTTGCTGGAATTTCTAAGGGAGTAAGACCAAAGAGAAAAGCAAATTTTACTTTTAACCATATTAAAAAATATAGAATATATCTAAACAAAAGTATTTTGCCATGCTATCTGGGTTACAACAGAAATCCCATCTTAGCTTTGCATCTATTGATATATATGTATATTGATATGTATACATATATTGATATATATGTATATACTTAAGTACTACCACATGAGTTCTTGAGATTTAAATAATTAGAATAAGCATTCTCCTACCTTATAAAAGAAGTATTGCACAAGTTCAGATATCCTAACATAATAAAAATGCCCATGAACAAGCAACATTTTTTTCAAATGTTTAAATTTAGGTATTGCATAGTCACTGTTTCTCGCTGCTTGACGACCTTCTTTGCCAATGATTCCTTAAAAAAAAAAAGATGAAACTTTTTAACTAAAGAACTATCCAAAAACATACAATTATTTGAAAAATTATACAGCAATGCTGTAACACTAATTTAATAAGACAGCACCGCAGTACCTCGTAAGGTACCTGTGGTAAATGCACTAATAGTTGTCTATAAATGGAGCAATATGATTCTTTGATTCCTAATTGGATGGATTAAATGTTTTTGTCATTTTGCTTGAAATAAAAATCTGAAAAGCACACTTACCTATACCAACATGTGCTTCTAGAATCATACTGACATCATTTGCTCCATCACCGATTGCTAAAGTGATAGGACGCTCCTTTGATAACTTAATCAATTTTACAATCTGGAAAAGAACTACTGTTAAAAACTCTTCTCTGTGAGGTTGATGGATTATTTATTTTGCATGAGACAGTATTTAGTGCACAATTTATGAAAAAAGAGCAACACAGTTACATTAGAAATTCTGTGAAAGGACACAAAATACAAATAGCCCCATTCAACTACTACACATAAAGATCACCGTGGTTTCTTTGTATTAAAAATATTTACTACAAATGTAAATTCCTCTTTCAAATACTTTCAAGGTATTTTAAGGTGAGATTAGGTGGTAAGAAAAGTGAAGAGATGGACAGTAGAAAGAAATGCAGAAGAAAGGAAGATATTATTGAGGTTGTTAAATAGTTTGTAAGTGCTTTAATAAATTAAAAGGTTTCCAGAGAAACTTGAAGCTAAAGACTGAATCTGCTTTCTTAACTATCCTGAATGTTCTTTGTTTTATGCTTTAAGAAAAGACATATTAAAAGTTAATTTCAGAATGTACGAGTGACCAAATGCATTTTAAATATAGATGATAAAAACAACTTTGCACAAGAATAAACAGCTACTTCCTGCCTTTACAATTGGGTCCTTTATGACAACTCTTTCTGTGCAGACACAGAAACAATAACAGGACTCCATGTATACCTGAACATGTTCCAAAATTGGATTACAAATTTATCCATTATAAATGATCACCTCTGGCTTGTCGACTGCAAATAAGAAATTCTATAAACTTTCTCACAGTTTAAAGAATGCTGGCTAAATATATTTATTTCACTGAGTAAATGTCTACCTCTCTGTACCATATGTACTACTGAAAGACATAATATTTGAAGAGAAAGAAAGAAGCATAAATTGGAATGTTTTGTTTTGTATATAGGTCTTCAGCTTAAACTGAGATGCTTCAACAATGGAAGGAACTTTTTACTTGCTGCAAACCCACATACATATTTTAAAACCACATACGTATTTTAAAATTATCAAGTACACATTTTTTACTTGTATTTTTCTCTCTCCCACTTGTGTTTAGAAATAGAGACAATATATCAATATCTACTAGACAATATCTACTATAATAAATAATTCAGGTTCTTGTAGTATTAACAGAGAGTGAACTACTATCAGTATTCAAAGCTTTTTAGGTAAAAAAAGAAGCAATTAGTTCATTTGTTACATATGTATCAGCACGTACCAACCACAACATTTGCAAAATATATACATAAATCCAATTCGATTGCATGACAGGGTGACATTTTAGCATACTATTATCTAAACTGCTTGCCAGGAGACACTCCTCCCTCTTCTTTTATGATTTTTTGTATTTTCCATTTTAGAAGAAACAAAAGTGAATGTTAAGATTTTTAATTGCCATAAGAAGTCGTACAGAGTATTAACTTTCCTTATTTACATAGCTGCACAGCTAACAAGCAATTAAGAAATGAAACACAAACCTGTGCTTTTTGTAGAGGTGCCATTCGGCAGCATAACACTGCACTGCAGTTCCTGCAAATTTCAAGAAAGAGCTCTCGGTAGTTACCAGAGCTCCCATCTTGTCTTGGTTTCATTATTAATGATAATGCTGCTCCATCAATAATTAAGCCGTAATCTTGCATATCGTTTGAAAGTCTGTTCAGAAATAAAGCACAAGCTAAGAGTCACTGCAAAATTCTCAGACATATTTTAAATTTGGCAGTGGTTTATTTTGTGAAAAATAATCAATGGAAAGATTAGTATAGAATACTGGAAAGCTAATATACTTGAAAGGAAATTCCTTATATAGGACTGCTACCAAAACCTTTTTTAATGCTAGTTTACATTGAATATGTTCAGAATTTCACCAATTTGAAGATAGACATCTGATATCTCAGTGACTGTATCAATGAGTAGGAAGATACAAGCAATGACAGTTTGGCCTACTCTGAGTGCTACCCTACAAGCGCTCTGTTCTGTAGTATCCAGAGCAATTAGTGCGAATCTCACTTGCATTTTTCTGCATTATACAGCAGCTTCAGGGTCAGCAGTAACTGCTGTGTAAACTGACATTAGGGTTTATTTGTGCTCTAGTCTCAATACTCTAAGGATATACTTACTGTGCTAGGGTTTCCGAGAAGCACAGTTTCATCATGAACAATGTTTGTGTGAAAACATCACATTTACTAACGTTCTTTAACATTTTTTTAAGCATCTCCATCTTTACTACTAGAAGAAAGGCAATTTTTAACAGAGTATACACTTCTGTAATCTATATTCAACACTAATTTGCAGACACTTCTCAGTATTTAATTATAATTGGCACAAATAGGTCAACAGTATTAATATACTACGGTACTAACCAAAATATTATTTTTATGAAATTCAGACAATGCACTGAATGTTTGACAGATTATAGTGAAAGGTTTTCAGCCTGCTTTGAATACCCAGGCAGCATCCTGCTACTATTTTTTGTGCACATTCCCAAACTCTGGAGGCAAAAACAAGAAAGTCTGATGAACCTTTGCACCTAGAAAATGGGCACCGCACAAGCAAGTTAAACATGTTAAAACACACATTGTAAGATCTGTATGCTTTAAGTTAGATGTGGAAGATATGACATAGGAAGAATAGGGTATAACAAATGCTTAATATTCCTTTACTACAAATATATTGCACAAGCATATAAAATGTACCTGCTGCTGTACAATTTATTTCTTTCCATGCTAAAAAGGCAAAGTAAATATATGAACCAAAATATATTTAACTGCTATACAGTAATTCACACTCTTACAATAGAAACTAAAACACATTATTTTTCTGCTTTTGAGCTATTATCAAAATCATTTAGTTAATTATAAAATTCATGTACATTTTTTCCTGACTTGCAAATATGATTTTTTTCTTACCCTGAGAAACTATCCCTGGTTAAGCTGCCACTGTGTCTTAGGACAGTTTTGCTTAGGTCAAAAAGCACATCGTGTAAACTCTGTTCCTCAATTTTCTTTGTGGTTAGCTCAAGTATTTGTGTATTTCTCCGGAAGAGTTTGCAAGCATAGCAGGTAGCTGCAGCGGTCTCCATTTTGTCTCCTGTCAGAACCCAAACATTAATTCCTGCTTTCTGAAGTGCTTCAATAGTATCAGCAGCTTTTTCTTGTAGTCTGTGGAAGTCAATTAACAACATACATTGACAGATAGTTTGGTAATTAGAAATTCAGAAATTGAAAGCTTTTAATGAGAAAAAAAATCTAATAAAAGCTTTCAGCTCTAAGAATTTTCCACAAATTGAGAATCTAAATGTAGCTTAAAAGAATAGTATATTATAAATAATTAGCTTTGGCACTTTTAAAGCACTCCAAGTTTCACCTCTGAGCCTAAAAGACAAGATGCTTCATATGAAAGACATGTCCTTAATGTTTTTAGTGCTTTTCGTTATTAATTAAGTCAAATACTGGAGTACTGCTGAGTGACTAAAGTCATCTCCCTGTTTTAATATACAGTTTTTGAACTTAAGATCTAAGGATTCTCTCTTCACTTCCAAAGGCCTCATTTCATAATTTTATCTCCAAAACATTTCTCTATTTGTTGAATGAAGTATTATACTAACTGCAAGGAAATGGTTTGAATATGCTGATACACTTACATATTGCTATTAAATAATAAAGTTACTAAGTTTAATCTTAGTAAGTTAACAATATGAGACTGATTCAAATAAAGGGATTTGCCTCTAATGCCCAAAAAAGTTGCAGGAGAGTTCAAACGAGCAGCCATTTGCTCATATATAAACACTGGACCATGGTAACATTCCTTAACAGTCTAAGACACATACTAACCGATCCTCAACAGCTGTAGCACCAAGTAAAATAAAATCTCTTTCTATCTTCTCATAGGCTTCTGCCAATTTCTTTTCCCGGTCCTGAAGGGCCAGCTTGGCATTCTGAAGCAGTTTATGTGCACTGGAATACTCCTTATCTGTGAGCTTTTTATAGGCAACACACAGCGTTCGCAGTCCCTCCTAGAAAATGTAATCAAGACAAACAATATGCATCTTGTAAAACTCTTCTTGGACTTCTTGGTATTTTTACTCCGGAATATTTGAAAACTTTGCATCATTTTACCATTAACTCGAGGAGTCTCCCTGCTCACTTTCACAGTAAATTATCTGACTAGAAGATGGGTCTGAATGATCCTGTGCTGCCCCGGAAGCAGGTGCAACCTGTAGCCCTCCAGAAAAGAAACAAATGTACAGGATCATCAGGGAAAAGAAGGCTAAGGTAAAGCTTTCCTCTTCCCTTGTTGTCTAATTAGGCAGGAGGAGGCAGAAGAAGAAATATTAGTTCTGCAGAGTCTAATTTCAATGTTGTGTTGCTAAATACATTGCAGATAATCCAGGGCAAGCAAGCCATACTACTGCAAAAACAGGGGTGGAATTTGATTTCCAGACAGTCCTTCTTTAACTCCATCAATATGCAAGTTCTTTGAAGGAATTTAATTTTTTTTTTAAATCAAAATAAAGGGAAAATAGTAGATTCGTATCTTTATTTTTGATTTTAATTTTACTATATTTCCCACGTTAAATTTCTTAAGATGTTATACTCTGAAAAATTCTTTGGCTGAAAAAGCTAAGAATCAGTTGAAAACACTATTTTGAAAGCACACAAAATTGAAAAATCTACTAAATTTTATTTTGATGTCTAGGATTTTATTGCAAAGACTACCACCTCAGTTTAGCTTTCCACTCCCTTGCGGGGTCAGTCTTTGAGATTAGAGGTCAGTAATTCAGCTTTTTATTTTCAGTCACAAGGGTTTCTCTCTTGATAGACATTAGATAGATATATTAAACACTTCCTTCAGTTTCAGTAGCTTCCTTTGTTTCTAATTACCGGACAGCTGCTTCACCAGTGAAGCTTATTAGAGCACTTTGTAAAGAGTTTTTAATTTCCCTTCAAAAAAAAAAAAGCAGGTAGTACTATAGATATTTTTTACATACCTGTAGTAATAATATTTTGCTTTCATTTTGGGTACTGAACACCAGCAACTTGAAATCTGACCATCAAATTCCATTGTAATGGGTTTTGCGATTGTTTATACACCACAAATTTCAGTATTTTACAACTCCTAACACTACTGTTTGAGTAGAACCAAGTTTTGAATTTCTTCTAAAATTAATCGGGCAGCTCATATTCATTTTTAGCAGTAAAAATGTATGTATGAGAATGACACTGAACTGTTTCCACAAAAGAAGCACATTTGTAGACTAATGGTGCTCTAATGGCTTTTGTCTTCTGAGAGCTTATAAAGCCATCAAAGGCAAGAAATCAGTGGACTGAAAACAGGAATGAGATACTTTTTCCCCCCCATTTATTATATTCAAAAGTTAATTCAAACTATCACAGTTGTGAACATGCCATTCAAAAATGCTAGTTGATGACCTCTGGTATAACATACAATATTGTATATCTAATGCATTTATGTCCCACCAGAAATGCCATCGAGAGGATGAGATGGAGGAGAGATTGAAACAGGGGAGTAACACAATCTGCTATTCGCAGAGCCTGTGAAGGCCTTGCTGAAGTAGACTTTTTTGAAACTGATTTTTCACAAGCAGTTTAACGAATGCTTTAAACTCGCTGGAATCTTACCACTGCATTGCGCTCAACTCTGGATCGTATTTGGTCAATTTTGCCTTCTTTAACTCTAGGAAATATGGAAGAATCTGCTCCCTTACAAAACAGAAATATATCACCTAAAAAAAGACAACATATGGAATTCAAAATGGCTAATAGTCTTTTCTTCAAACCCCCCACCAAATTACAAAGCTGTTAAAACACGTTTCTTCCAAAATTTGTATAACATTTGCACACATACTGGTACCCAATGCCCTTTTTTACACAGAAAAGTACATAGACCAAGGTAAAAATAAATGAATTCTTTGATAAAACTGAAAGGAAATGAAATGAAGTAAAACCATTTAACAGGACACAGAATCTTATAGTCCTACCTGTTGAGGATTTAACAATTACACTCATTCGCCGTCTCACAGAATCAAAACTCAAAACTTCTAATAATTCAAATCTGAAAAAGAAAAAGAACATCTTTTACTTCAACAGGTTTTCTTTTGCAGAAATCTAAATGGTTGCTGATGTTAGGGAACAACAGGCATACAGAAGCTAGCATGGAAATTATTGTTCCAGGGAATATTTAATACTATGGAATATGGAACTACTACAGAATGAAATAGCAAGTTAAAAAAGAGGAGGAGCCGCCTAAAGTACCTATTACTTGAAACAGAGTTTGTCTGAGTGATCCTCTTCAGTATCTAGTCCCTGGCAGTAATTATATTTAATCAAATAATTTATTTTAGCAAAAGACTAGAAACCTTATAATATAGCATTATAATGCTTCCAAGGCAAACAGATTACTACCTATAACCCCTACGGATAGCCTGGGAGCTATCAGTGTCCACACCAAAGTCTTATTTAATATTTTCCCAAATTGAGCTATTTATATCTTTTCAGAAAATGCCAATTGCTTTTCATAAATCTTGCCTAAGTGCTGACTGACAAGTCAGTAAAATGAAATAAAAAGTTTATTTCATGATTTGATTAAATGATCAAAGCTCCTTTCCTGATTAGGATGAAAAATGAACACAAGTTCCTACTGTGTTATCTGTATGGTATCACTCACCAGTTTATGTAATTTTATCATTTAGATTCTTACTCATTTTCTTTTTATCTAACAGAGATCATTTTTTTCACAAACATAAATCTTATTATCTTTAACTCTGATCTCTTCAGGGTTCATCTCCTTTATTATTTTGCTTATAAAACAGATCAGTTTGTTCAAGTAGATCATTCAGTTCTAAGTTCTTACAACGGTCTGGGATTCATACCTGTGCAAGGACACACTGTTATTTCATTAAAAACACTATCAGATTCCAACAAGGAGCTGGATGCCTACACCTCCAGATGAGAAGCATTTTGAAGAAAATTCTTAATAGCTATAGCACAAATCACGGACCACATTATTGTACTGACTGAAATTTTGACAAACTTAGTCATAAAAATCTGAAGTAAACTTCTAGAAAAGTCCTATATTATCTAAAACGGATAAAATTAATGTCAGGTTTCCTATACTTCCCTCTGAGAATTCCTGTGCAGCTAGCAGAACATGCAAACAGATATACAAGAGACCTTGCCAGTAGAAATCTATAGAAGTTTAAAGTAACATTTTCAGAAGTATTTACATCCCACTGAACAGCTGTACTACTCATATCCTATCAAAAAATAAACTCATAACATGGTCTACAAAGAAGAATAACAGAAAAAAAACAATACCTGTTTTAAATTTTCTTGAAACAGCTATATAAATGTATTCTAGGAATATTATCCTCCTGTAAATTATAGGGATGATTTCTTAGCAATACATGGGGCACTAACCATTTTCTATTAAGGAATGATTATTTCCCATATAACAAATGAAAAATACCAATAGTTCCTAAAATCAGATTAATATCACTCCTTTGTTGTTTTATTCATCATTTTTCTTATTGTATATACTCTCAAACTGACACACTAAGTGAAAATATAAAACTACACTCTATTCAAAATTCAAAATATCAGTAGATTATTATTTTTCCTACTAAAGTGTACAATT